TGAAAGTAGAAGCAACTGCACAATTGTCAATTAGCAGCATAAATTATTTCACACTGCCCATACCCCTTTCTGCAAAGTTTGCAGACTGTTCACATGGAAATAAATGTACAGCAGTGAATGAATTATATACAGTCCTTCAAAGGTTACTAACTGAGAGAGAATTATAGCTGCTAAAACATAGAATAAAATGAATAAGGCTCTTTGGATCCTTTAAAATATCTCACTGTAGGTGCAGGTTATATATTTTGAACTCAATTCCATAGTACAGAAAAACATAAAAATAACCTTTGGAAAACTTTCCTGCAGCAATTTGGTCCTTAAACACCATATGGAGGAGTAACTAATCCTATACACAACTAGATGATTCAGTGGGATAATCCATAGAAGAATTTCCATATGGCATTCTCAGTGTTCTTCAACATATCCTTTTCTATCTCCAGCCCATGCTTATGAAATGCTGGCAGATGCACTGCTGCTACAGAAGCCTGAGTTGAAAAGCAAAATGAATATCCATTTATCTGGATCCAAAGACACAGATGACACATGGATGTGTCATCACCAGCTAAATGCTGTTATTTGTCCCCTTGGATGGTGAGCCAAGGCCAGCAAGAAGATAGAATTTCAACTGGCATAAGAACAGCCCAAGTCTGCTATGGTACAGGTGTTCCAGGCTTGAGGTTAGATTCAAATTTAGATCATTAGGATGGTTGAAGGATTTGACTGGACTGAACATGACTCCATTTGAAACACTCTTTTCCTACATTCCCAAATTCCAGGATCTGCAGTGTAATCTTCCTCATTTCCAACTTCTCAAACTGAAAATCAACTTTTTTTTTCCCTTCTATCAATTCCTCAATGTTATTCTATAAATAATTGTGTAATTATCTGTCCAATTAGAGGATCTTTTACATTAAGGTACTCCAGACACTTTCTAGCAACCTCGGCCCTCATGCAGTGGTCTTGAAAGCAGCAAATTGATACAAATCCATTAATTCATATTTCCATTATAAAGAGTACACAGAGACAGCAGAGCATACAAGCAGCATAGAGAGATAAAAGCATCGGACCAAATAGCAGCAACATGTATCTTAGTGATTTCTTTGGGCATTATTTTTAGCATCACCTTCTTTAGAATGGAAGGACATAGTAATTACACTTCACTGATGAAGTTCTTCTCTGTCAAAGAGAATTAATGGCCTTGATGCTCCCATCACTGCACAACCTGGTTTTAAATTATCCGTTTCATAAGTTCTGTTACCAAGAAGTGTATTTTACTTCACTCATCATTCTCATTTAACGAGAAGCAGATATGGCTCTAACTCTGGTTTGAGGAGCTTAAAATTTAGGCTGACTGGTAACTTTAGTTTCAGGTGGCTTGCTCTGCTGAGAAAAGTTATGCAATGTGAAGCAGAGTCAGATTTCTTATAGTACCTTTATGAACATCAAAGCTGTCTCTGGGCAAACATGCAATCCATTTCAAATTCCTTTCTGAAATAATAGAATAGTTTCTTAACTTATGCTCACTGATGATGACAGAATCTTATTTACTTCTTTATTACCTTCATAGCAAATTTTAATTAATTATATATTCTTCAATTTTTTAATCACTTTCAGTTGAGTATCCTTCCAGATTTGATGTATGCAACATTAATTATTTGCCTATGGCAATATTTTATAAACTCTAATAGGCACCACATGTTCAACTTGCTCAAAAATTAATCACAGACATTATATTTGGCATTAATGTACGTCTTTAATTGGCTGTAATTTCACATCTGTGTTACTTTATATACAGCATTCTTTATCAGCATAAATGCACTCTGCTTCTGATGTGTGCAATACCAGCCATCAAAACCACCTTTTGTATTAACATTTTTTCTTTTAATATAAATCTACTTTTCTGGGTTAAAAAAAAAGTAATTTGAAAATAATCTTTCTCATTCATATTAATTATTTAGAAAGTCAGGTAGAAAATGCTGGCTGAGATCTAACAGAGAAACTATAAAGTCGCTAAGCTTTGCCTGAAAAGGAGGTTTGCCTCTTTAAGAAAAAAATCTCTTTGAAAGAGGCTTTATTGTGGAAATCAATGCTTAGCCCGAAGAAACAGGCAACAGCCTCACTTAGTAGCTAGCAGCTTGTCAGGGACAGCCCCAGGACTGCCCCACGGTTCCTCTCAGTTTGCCCAGTGACACATCTGAGGCAGCTGTAAAGCCCTGTCTTGGTTCCAACCTGGAGATGAACACAGGAAAACGATTAAACTCTCGCTAGGAATCTGGCACTGGTTTATCACGCAGTTATCCAGTTGTTGATACACAGATTAGGCAAATGAATGCTAATTAGGGTAAATTCACAAGTGTTGTAAGCACCTTTCCAATTGCAAGGTGTAGATATCCTGAGAATTACAGCAAAGCAACACTGCATATCTCAAATGAGATACAATGTGTATTCAAATGCAGGACACTCTTCGGTCCACAAAGTACTCTGCTGAAACACACAGAGATTTGCCACATTGACAATCTGGATATAAGAAAACTGTGGCATCATTTTACTTTCTGAGAGGATCCTGATCACGTCAGAGCTCTTTCAGTAGAATGTGTTTTTGGACCAGTAACTCAGACAATGATTATCAGCATCTTCACCTATTGCTGAGGGAGACTTAACATAAACTATGGAGTAACAGTCAGCAATTTTTAGTATAAGAAGGCAGGACCAAATGCTACTCAGCACAAAAGATAATGAACGATTTATTCAAGGTAATACTAAAAGTGTAGCTGAATGAGCAGACATTATTATATTCTAGGCAACCGGAAATACAGCATACAGGAAAAAAAATATTCCTTTTCCCTTAGCGGTTGACAGGAGCAGCAAAAAACAAGATAACACTTGAAAAAGATCTTCTGTCCTACCACCAGACTTTAAAATTATGCTGTCAGCATACTTGTAGCACACTGCTTTACACTGAGACATTTAATTATTTCAAGTCCCAGAATTCCACTTCTCATTCTTAATACTGGGTAGGACTCAATTCCAAACGAATGCTGCTTTGAAAAGGCCGATGCACATGGTTTAAGTGGAAAACAGTAGCCTGCAGATTCAGCATCCAAACTCCCAAGGACAAAATTATTTGCTTTCTAGAACAATTAAACTTCATACCGCCCTTACAGAAAGCCAAATTTTAGAAGCTTATATTATTTCAAAGTTCTGTTTGCTGCTTTAAAGTGAAGGAAATACTTTCAGTGGTCTCAAATATTTCATCTGGAACTGAAGAAGTGACTTAGAGTGACTATGAACGACCTTTGAATTATCAGACCCGCCCACATCTTCTCCCTGCCTGTTTGCTTGGGGGACGAATTACTGCTGCTAATGACTCGGCACGTAAGTGGCACTCAGGGGAAGCGGGATACGCAGCAGTTCGCCCTCATCCCAAATCAAGCCAGATTAAACCATTTAGCATTATTGAGAAGAAAGCATCTAAACTGTTCAGGCCCTCGGTATTTTCAGAGAATTTAAACCAGCCCACAAGTTCAGCCCTCGTACTAATTTTCCTTTGGGATCTGTTGCCGCCTCGTGGGCTCGCCGTGAATTTTAAGTCCCAAAATAGAAAATTAGCAGAAGTTAACCTTGGATTGCGGGGGGAAATCCCAGATACTTAACTGACATGTAACCTCACTTATGTTAAAAATGAAAATTTGTCCATCCAAATTAAAATGAAAAAATAAAATATTTATTTTGCAATCAAATTCTATCTAGCCAGCCACAAGAAATGAACAGAGCCGAGCCCGGGGTCAGCCCTGGGTGTGCAAAACAAAGAGGTCAGCCTCAGCAGAGGTTTTCCTCTATGCCCACACACCTCCATCCTGGCATAAGCGGTTTTTATAGGAAAAATTCTGCCTGAGGCAAAGATTTCAGCAATCAGTCTTTTCTTTCACTCAGAGTCCATAGGTTAATGCTTGGGGCCAGGGAGGCCACTTCAGCCACTGGATACACAAAGTATTTCAAGCACAAAATATTGCTTTAAAGTTGCCTTACAATCATAAAAAATCACAGAATGGTTTGGGTTGGAAAGGACCTTAAGGACCATCTTGTTCCAAATCCCCTGCCACGGGCAGAGACACCTCTCACTAGACCAGGTTGTCCAGAGCCCTGTCAAATCTGGCCTTGAACACTGCCAGGCATCCATAGAGCATCCATAGGTCCTCTGGGCAACCTGTGCCAGTAAGGCACTTCCCTGTGAGTAAAGACTTTCTTCCGAATATCTAATTTAAATATCTCTTCTTTCAGTTGTAAGTTATTCCCCTTTGTTCTGTCATTATCTGCCTGAAGTCACTATCCCTCCTCTTCATAAGCCCCATTTAAGCACTGTAAGGCTGCAACCAATGCTTTAAAAGTGATGTCTAGAATTATGCTAATAATTCAAGTACTATATAAAAATAGAAATAAACTAAATCAACCGAGTCTGTGCCCCCTTCTCCTCTCCTTAGTATTCTTTTCAGACAGAGTCCGAGTCCTCCCTCCGGGCATGGCCCTGCCGCTCCATGGGCCGGGGGGAAGAAAGGCTGCGGGATGCCTACGGCCCTGGCAACACAGAACGGGCGCCCGCGGTCAGCCCGGGCGGGCCGAGGAGGAGGAGGAGGAGGAGGAAGAGGAGGAAGAGAGGAGCAGGAGAAGGAGGAGGAGCAGAGCCCAACGCCCCCCCGCGCCCGGCTCCCGCTGGAATGACCGCGGCGGCCGGGCGGGGGCGGGGCCTGGCGTGCGGCGCAGCCAATGGGGCGGGGCCTGGCGTGCGGCGCAGCCAATGGGGCGGGGCCTGGCGTGCGGCGCAGCCAATGGGGCGTGGCCTGGCGTGCGGCGCAGCCAATGGGGCGGGGCCTGGCGGGGCGTCTCAGCCAATGGGCGCGGCGGGCGGTGGCGCTGGCTCGGCGGGAGGGGGCGCTGCCGGTGGCAGATCCCGTCCGTCCGTCCGTCCGTCCGTCCGTGCGGCGGCTGGGGGGCGCCGGGCGGGGTCGGCGCGGGTTCGAGACCCGGCCATGGTGGCGGCGGCCGCTCGGTGGCCCTGGGCCCTGCTGTGCCTGGCGGCGGCCCCGCTGTTGTGCCCCGCGGCGGCCGGTGAGTAGCGACCGCGGGGGAGGCAGTGAGGGGAGGCGGCTCCGCGGGTCCCTCTCTACAACATGGCGCAGGGGCGGCGTCGCCGGCGGGGATGGGGCGCCGCGGGACTCTCCCGTCCGGCCGCTGTCGGGGCGGGATGCGGGACTCGGGGAAGAGGAGGGACGCCGCCCCGCCCGTGGCCCGCGGCCGGGAAGCGACAGCGGTGCCGGTCCGGGCTGGTGCCTGCGCCGGCTCCCCGCGGAGGGAGAGCGCCCGCCGGAATCGCTGCGGCGGATCCGGAGCCGGGGAGAGGCAATCCCACAGCCTGCATAGCGGCCGGAGCTCCGGCATCCCACCCGGCACCGTGACCTCGGGCACAGACCTCCTCGTCCGCCCCAGCGGATCCGTGCCTGGGGGCCGGGATGTTGCCTTCGGCTGTTACACTGCCTGCGGATGAATTCCCAGGATTGTTGCTTGAAATGGTCTAAATGACACCAACCTGACGCGGTGTCAGATCAGACTGTGTGTTCTAGAGCTCCTATTCCTTGTTTTCAGTAGAAGAGTGGTATCGAACAAGGTACTCGACGTTTAATAAAGAGGAGGATAGCACATTACAGCTGTGATAGCAGATGTCTTGGCAATTTGTGCTTATAGCCCAGAATGCCAGTCATGTCCAGGCTTCCCAGAGGATGGATGCTCCGTTCCTGGATTTGTTCAAACCAGTCTGGATGGGGCTCTAAGCAGTCTGGTCTAGTGGAAAGTGTCCTTGCCCTTGGCAGGGGGTTTGGAACTAGCTAATCTTTAAGGTCTCTTCCAACCCAAACTATTCTAGGAATCTGTGTCCATAACTTCCTGACAGGACCAAAAAAAGAGTGGTGGAAAAAGAAGCGAGCTTAAGACAGACATTGGAAAACACCTTTTAATACATAGATGACATTATTGTCATAGGAGTAGAAACTACAAAACATGTAATACTTTAAAGCAGAAGAGACTGCAGTCACTAAGACATTTATGGGCATTTAATTATTCTGTAGTTTTGGTTTCTAGTGAGGCTTAGTTCTAGGTGGGAGACAGTAAAAAACTAGTGGAATGAAATACGAGGGATTCTGGCCCAGCTTTCCACTGATAAACCTACTAATATTGCAAAGAATTAATGCCCAAGTTCCTTCTTGATGATTCAGTCAAAATCTGTTTGGTAAGGTGTTGTGAAAAAGACTTTTGTTGTTATACCAGTGTGCTACATAGTTCAGATGCATCTCAGCAGAAATCTGTAATCATTAAATGATCATGTGTATGGAAGTAAAAGCTTTCAAGGACACCTCTGTCTGTTTTCTAAAACACTGGAAAACACAGGAAAATGAGGATGAAAATGGATATTAAGGCACTGCTCAATTCATTTTATATTTGCCAAGCTTAACCATGAATGAACAAAATTGAATGGTAGGGGGTACAAAGCACAGCAGAGTATAATTCTAAAAATGCTGCTTTAAGCTTCGGTCTTTCAGTGACTTCTCAGTGCATCAGTTGTTTTTTCTATTTTTTTTTTTAACTCTTGATGTGTTCATAGCTATGTTTGTTCTGTGACTTCCATCCAGTCAGACAAATCCAGTGTTAATCATCCATCACTAGTGAAACAATTTACAGTTTTGTTCCAGGGTTTTTAGAACAGAGAATTCAATGAGCACCTATGTGAAAAGAGACCCCTGGTCTGATTTCCTTCACCACCTGTTCTTAACTGATTCTTGCACTTTTCAGATTCTGTGAGATGATTCAATTTACAAAGGCACACATTCTCTACAGAGATTTTTGGCGAGTTTTTTGTTTACTTTTTCATATTTATTCTTTTTTATATTTCCCCTGAGTTAATAAATTAAATTGTCTCATGAAGGAATTTATCATGTGCCAAGCTAGTGCAAGTTAAGTAGCAGAAATGTGACTATGGGCAGAAAGGCAGAGAGATCTCATTTTGGTGGCAGTGAGTGTTCAGAGGTAACTGTGAGACTTCTTGTAAAGATCTTCATCATTTTCAGAACAAAACTTTCTCTTGTTCATTTTTTGCCTTTTGGGAAGGAATGTTTCCCACAGTCATATGTGGGTCAGAATATTGTCCTGATAGAACATCAAGTGTGTACTTGTGTTCAGTAGTGATGATAAAGTATTTCAAATCTTTTAAATATCTTTTCCCTCTCCCTGCTTTTCCATAGGCTTGTCTTGTTGTTACCATGCAAAGGACAATTTAATGTGCCGTGATGTCTGTGAACAGGTAAGCTTGTTTTAAATTTAACTCCATCAGAGTTGAAATTGTGCCTTTAGCCAATAATGTAGCAACATTAAGTTCATAAGTTAAGTTCATTAAGTTCTGGAGGCTGTGTGTGAGTTGTGAGATGTAGTGGTATCAAAATGAGAACTTTGAAGTTTTAGAACCATAGTCCTCTTTCCTTTTGTAGTGGAAAATGGGTTCTGTTGAAGTTGATGAAAAATAGAAATACCAACCTAAGGCCACAGTTTGGTCGAGAAGTGATATGCATGTTAGGAAATTTTACAGAATTTATGAATCTTACATGTTTCTAAGTTCTGGGGAGTTCAAACTGAAGAACAAGATGCTGGTATTATTCTTTCTTCCTTCAGGTTCTTGCTTGTCCAATAAGCATTTCATTATGATTTTGGCTTTGTAAATGCAGCAAAAATCTGCTCACTTACTCTTTTCATAACACTGTTTGTTCTGAATTCAAGCTTGAGAAGTATTTTTCCATAACTTATGTTTATATTTGTACCTGTGGGTAGTAATTTGTACAGCTTTGGGTGTGTGTGCAGTTACATTTATTCATCTATGTAAGAATTTTACTTCAGTAAAATTTACATTGATGTAGACACAATTTTGATATTAAAGTTTTGTGATTAAGTTTATATTTATCTCTGATTGTACTAACAAAACTTCCACTTTAAATTGCGCTTTCCCCTCCCTGATATATCTAGAGAATGCAATGAAATCTTCTTTCAGCTTTCGTATTGTTAGGTCAAACAAGGAAAAGTCTTACAGTCTCATTGTGTAAGATATTTTCTCAATTCCTATAATAATTCTTGCAGCCCTTCCAGCATAAATTCATCTCTTTTAATGGAGGTAACCAAAACTATACATGGCATTATTAAAAAAAAGTGTGGCACTCAGTCTTAAAAACTGTGTTTGAACTTGGATATAAGAGAAAGATATCCATTCCTATATATAAATAAATTTGGTGAATTTAGTAGCTGCAGTGATACAGCATTTGGAATCATCTTCCGATTTCTTTCTTGTGTTTCATTGGTTTGAAGTTTCCACTTTATCATGTGAATTCCTGTTGGCTCTTCGTGAAAGACTGCCAGCTTTTTACTGTCAAATTCCATCCCTATTCTGCTATATTGGTTCTAATTATTACATAGTTATCTGTGAGTTTTGTAAGATACGCTGTTCTGGCTTCATCTGGATAATCTCTCTCAGATAATCAGCAGATCCAGAATCTTAGTAGTGAGAGGTCTAGAAAAAGTCTGAAGCAAGATTGGTGCCTCTCAAAGTATGCTATAAGTAGCTGGCTTAGCTACTTACATCAGGCTAGTGGCGTCATTTTCTGTGTGATCCTTCCATACCGTACAACAGGCTGACTGAAGGAACTGTCTGCTGTTATTTTACTGGTTTTCATCTTCTGTAACTTTTTTGTGCAGCTGACAGGAGGAAGAAATTTCATGGCTGTCTGTGGATATGTACTTGCAGATTAGATCTGGGGCCTTGGAGTAGATGAGGAAGAACGATTTGCTGAGGAGCCATCCTGGCTTAACCAGCAGACTGTAAACAGTGCCACCAGGAGAAACACTCCCTTTTGGAGGCACTCACCCGCAGAGGAGACTTTCTGGCTAAGGTCCTTTGGTTTTCAGGGACTCAGATCTAGGATGTTGCAGGAATCAATAAGTTTTTTTGACCCTCAGACTGTTACCCATTGTCTGCACATCTATACAGACACTGGCAATAGTATTTAGGGAGGCCTTGCCTGGGAGCCCAGGGACTAGGGTGAAAGGCATGGGACACCCAGTGATGTAGCCCTGGATCCTGGCAGTTAAGGAAGAAAGCTTGATTAAGGGTAAGGAATTCTTTTAACCAGTAGATGAGCTACTGTGAGACTTTTGAAAAAGTGAATGTGGATTACAGATATGTTTGTCAACTAACATAATTCAAACATCTAATCATTTTGCATTCCTAGTAAGTATTACTCCAGTCTTCGCTTTAGTATCATCTCCTTTTCATGATTATTTGATTAAACATAGATACTGTAGCAAGGAATAAGCAGGCCTCTCTTTCTTCAATTTACTTTTTTTCCCCTAAATTTATTTCTGAGAAGTTTCATTGTGATAAGTTTCCTGTCAACATTTATCTTTATACCGTTCCAGAGGACTCTATCCATAGCCTTCTTCAAGCATAAGGACTGTTCATCCCTGCTTCCAGGAAACCACCTTAATGTTCCAAGAATCTGATTCAGATAAACAGAGAAGTCATTAACAAGCTTTGGTGCAGAAAAGATATGGTATAGAGAGTGTAGAATCAGGGAAATGTTTTACAAGAAGAATTTAGACCTTTTGCCAAGGCAAGTAAGGTTATTTAGGGAAAGACAAGGCTCATCTGGAATTGAGACTCTCAGAGGAAGTCAAGGGTAACAAGACATTTGCTGAAGGCAGTGTGTGATTTAGTGTCAGTAAATCATTCCTGGCCAGCCTGGTTTGATAATAAGGCTGGATTTCTGGATGAGGGGAAAGGTGTGGATGTCATTTGCATTGTCTGTAGCAAATTGTTAAACATTAATTCACTCAATGTATTTGTATTAATTTTAGGATCTTAAGGGTTTGAGGAATGGGCAATTAGATGAGTAAAACCTGATTGTAAAATCAGGCTCAGAGGTAGAGTTAATGGGTCCTACTTTGCCTTCAGGCTAATAAGAAGTGGAATACCAAAGGGGTCTGCCCTGGCACCTGTCCTGTTTAACATCTTTGTTAACAACCTGGACAAGGAAAATCTCATTGAATTTTCAGGCCATATGAAGCTGAAAGGAAGTGTTGATAATCTTAATGGTAGGACTGTCATACAGAGGGACCTGGACAGATGAAAAGAATAAGCAGATGGACACCATGGTCTGGTCTTGTAGTTTACCCTTCTTTGAGCACGAGTTTGAAATAACTGATCTTCTGAGATCCCTTCTAAACTGAATTATTTTATTATTCTATGACCTCAGAAGAGTCAAAATACTAATACAGTTCCTTTTGTGCTCTCATTTCTGAAACAAATGGTGATGTTCTCTTGATTTTCTTTCAGTAGGTTTATCATGTTAGAAAAGAACTGATAGTTTATAGTGTTAGAGTAGAACAAATTTAGAATAGAACTGTAATGTATTTTTGCTTCTGAAATTCATCTGTTTCAGTTATATATAAAATATTTCTATTTTCATATCACACATTAATAGGTCTCTTTCCATTCCTTTTGTTGACCAGTTTCTTGTTTTAATTTATAAATAAGCCTTTTTTAGACTGCTAAAGGAACAACATCTTTAATATCCTCAATTGTATTCCATCCAGTGAGCTCCTGGGTTTTCAGTTTGCCTGTGGGTACTGTGCAGTCCCCTGTTCGTTTTGATTGTGTCTTTAACTAGTGTCACTTTTGTTCTACCTTTTTCCAAATAAATTACTTGTTTCAGGGTTTTCCTGAAGTTTAATTGCTTAAGGTCATGTAACATGTAACAGAAGGTTAATTACGTAAATAGAATTGTATAGTGTTTTGTTATGTGCAGCAGAAATCCTCTTGTTAACGTTGCACTTCTACATTCAGTAGAAACATTTTGATTTAAATGTTTGAGGAGAAAATTCTCATTTCTTCTAAACAGAAAAAATTGTGTCTCTATAAAAAGTGAAACATATTTGAGAAACTACAAATATATAAAAAGAAATCTTATATCTGAATTCTGTTAACACTGTTAGGCAAAGTAGTCAGACTAGATATTGGAGAAACTAAAGCCAGTGAAATCAATTTTTAAAAGTATTTTATGTGCAATGGCACATTCTCTACATTTAAGATGTGTTTTGTTTCTTAACAGATTTTGTCTTCTAAGAGTGACTCCCGTTTGAAGCACTTACTGCAGCGCGCACCTGAATATTGTCCAGAATCAATGGTAAGGCTTGCTAGAAAAGCTGTTCAAATGAGACTTAACCTCAAATTAGGATTTTTTTTTTTTTTTTGTAAAGCCATCATAAATTATGTTACTTGCAATAACGTGGCATGTATAAGCTATAAAATGCAATGAAAATCTTATCTATGTTGTAAAAATTTGTGCTGGGTGATTGTCACTTGGATGTTAATGGTAGTGACTTAAATTAGATTGTGCCTTCCAACATGTATGGCACAAAGCCATGAGGTTTTGGGCTAAGACAAGAAGGTAGCTTGCACCAAATTGTTTATGGCCTTACCTGAGAAACTGAAGTAATGCTTTTATTGAATAAATAAGATTATTGTTTCCTGAAAGTTCTGTCGTGTCACTAAAGTTCTTTAGTTTCACTAAAAAAAGAGTGTAATCTGCTGCCTCCTGTAAGGACAATCTAATCAGGGAATAGATAAGTATGGTCATTCAGACTGTAAATTTTAGAGTCTCATCTATAACTTAGCACCCTTTTGAAGTCAGAAATGCCTGCTTTCTTCTGGTAATTTCTGTTATTTCTGAACAGTATCAATCCTGTTTGCAGCAAGCCTAAAACATAGCTCAGCTAAAACTCAGCTCAAGTGAGCCTAAAATGCAGCTCAAGTGAGGAATGTGTAGGAGCAGTAAATCTGGGAATAACTAATATAATAATGTAAATTAAAATAATAATTTAATCAGCAACTTCACAGGATTGTGTTCAGTTATAGATCCTTTCCATGTGTGTGTCAAAGTTCCTTCGTTTTTTTGTTTCTGGGGTCAATAGCTCTAAGGTCTCTGAAGGTTATAGGCAGCTCCTGGTATGAGTAAAACCTGTCATGAAAACCTATTGAAGTGATGAATAGCATTTGGTTTGGTACTGATTTTCTTTATCTTTGGTTCCCTGATGAGTAGAATCTTATCTGTACAGTAGAGAACTGCTTCTGATAAGACACCATTGGATATTATCTGAAAGGGAGAAAATGACACAATGGTTTTTATAACTCCCAATTACTATCTTTATAAATGACAAGTCAGCTGTCCAGTGTGGATCTTAAATTAATGTCACAGAACTGGTAATATCTGGATACATAAAATAGTTAACCATTCAACAACCTTATTTGTTGTTCTCAGATATCTCTTATCTTGTTGGACAGGTGTTCTAGTGCCATTTCACTGATGAGCCGATGGGTTTAGATTTAATCAGATGGTCAATATTCTTGAGCACTGGTTACAGACATTGTGTTGTGTGTATTCTTTCAAGGAATATGATAGGAAGGGTATTGTCTGGTATTAATTTAAAAAGGAACTCTCAACACAAGAGGTGATTTTTTTTCTTTGATTCATAGATGCATTTAGTTTGGAAAAGACCCTAAAGATCGTTGAGTCCAGCCATTAATCTCCTCATGAAATAAAGGAAGTTAGATGAATCAAAGGGATGGAACTTGCAGAAGTAGCAGCTCTTTACCATCTGTGTTTGATCTTGCTTTGGCTCTTGTCTAGGTACAAAACTTCCACAGATAAAGAGGAAGATAGCATTAGATCATTAAATACAGATCCATTGCAACTTTGGAAAGTCATCAATTCCTGTGATGATGGGTAGGTAGATAGATAGATGTGTCACTGTGTGACAGTATAGTTTGCTGTGTGAGATTGAAACACTTTTTAAATTTTTTTAAATTTGTTTTCTGTGTGGTTTTGTGTGTTTAGGGTATTTTTAAGCTGGTGGGATTGAATGCCAGAGCAGTGAGCTTCTCCATAGGTCTTAGTCCTGGACAAATCTTGTTATTTAAGTTGCTGTTTAGTTCTGTGAATGCTGATGGAGAGAGTTGACTATGTTGTGTATTCTAGATAACTACATTATGTTCTGCACCTGCAAAATGCTGCTATTGATTTCACAGTCTGTGCATAGCAGCCCCTCTCATGGAAGGAAGTGGTACTCAGCTTCTATCATAGCACTTCTTTAAAATATGTTTAAATATAAGAATTCTTCCAATCAGATATTTAAAACCCAGTGAAAAAATGCTGAAATTGCTGGTTTGAGTCTGCTATAAGCTGTCTTATTCTGTGGACTTGCTTTTGCTTAATTGCATTTTTACTTTTCAGAGAGAAGTATGGGGTTGTATAAATTCTTCTTTGCCAGGTAAGAAATACCAGTTGACTGACTAATCATGTTGCTTTTTCACCCTGTCTGTTTTGATATTGTATCTGCCACCTGCACGTATAATTTCATGATAGTTTGCTTCTATTATGCATCTAATACAAACTGTGTTGTTAAGTTTCCTCTAGTATATAATGAGTTACTTGTGCATTTTATTAATAGTTTTTTTTCCTAGTTAAAAATATTTAATGTTTGTATAATTAAACATGTTCTTCTGTGACAAATCAGGGAAATATCAGCATTTCTTTATTTTCAAGATTTTTTGGGTTTTTTGATTTTGTTACACCTTAACCTGATCTACAAAATGGTTGATAATTATGACTTTACTCTAGATGCACCATAATTTGAACAAAAACAGTAACACAGGGAGATAGTAAGAATGAGGCAAACAATTTAATTGCAGGTGCTCAGATTATGAACCAAACTGCTTAGTACAAGTGGATTTAGAAAGTGTGACAGGTTGAAGCTGGCCAAATGTCAGATCACCCACAATAAATCATTTATTCATTTTCCTCTGCTGTATTTAAGCAGAGAGGGGGGACAAAAACTCATGGGGTGAGATAAAGATTAGGAGAAATGTGCTTTAGGGGCAAAGCAGGCACAAAACTTTAAAAGGTATAAAGAAAAAAAAATATCAACAGAATTGAAGGAAGATAATGAGAACTAAAAGAAACCTTTAGAACACTTTTCTCCCCCTCCCCAGCCTTTTTTCCTTCCCACCAACAGCACAGGGAGACAAAATATGGGATTTTTAGTCAGTTTACCCCTTTTTAAGATCTTTCTTCAGTTCACTTTGGGAGAGGAGTCTCTTTTGCTATGCTATGGGGTCTTTCCTGTAGGAAACAGTTCTCTGTGAACTTTTCTAATGTGGTTTTAATTTTCACAGCTAATAGTCCATCCAGAACCTGCTTGCAATGTGAGGTCCCTCCCACGGCTTGCAGTCTTCCCACAACTGCTTTTCAGGGGCCATTTATTTTATGGAGTTCAGTTTTTAAGGATGAGCTGTTCTAGTATAAAAGCAAGGTCCTCTTCCTCTATCTCTGAAAGCAAGTGTTCTCTCTCTCTCTCTCTCTCTCTCTCTCCCTCTGTTCAAGCCTCTCAGATCACAGCTTTTCAGCATCCACACGCTCCAGCATGAGTGCCTTTTTCTCATGGGCTGAGGCTGAATGCTGCATTCCCCCATGCACTTCCTGAATCACTGGGAAACAGTTCATAGTATTATAGTCCTCACCACAGCTTGCAGAAGAATCTCAGCTCTGGTGCAAGGAGCACTTCCTCCTCCCCCTCCTTCCTTTGCACTGACCTTAGTTCTGCCATGTTATTCTCCTCACCTGTCTTCACCTTTTCCTTTTTCCTGACTTGGGAGAGAATTGGTATTCATAGGTTCATTTGTTCTCAAGTGCTATTAGTTGAAAAGATTTTATTGAGTTCTGCAGTTCTGAAAAATTGATTTCATCCAGGCTTTGCATTGGGGAGTTGCTTGCTGTGCCTCTCGCTGTTGGTCACATAGTCCAGGCCCCACAGGAGTTTGTGTCACCAGGATGCCCCCCTGGTGACAGGATCTTGGCAGCCAGGATGGGGCTCAGCTGCACCACTGGCCACACCTCCAAGGGCAGAAAGAGAGCTTCCTACGATTTCTTCTTTCTTAAATATGTTATCATAGAGGCATTACGAGCTTCTCTAATTGGCTTAGCAGTGTGCCTGTTCTCAGAGCCAGCCAGCGGTTGGTTGTGCCAGGCATGGAGGAAGCTGCTAGCTGCTTCTCACAAGAATTACTTCCATGGCTGACTCTTTCCCTCTTCACCAAAAGTCAAGTAATGCAAATCCAGCATAAAAATTTAAAGTATAAATCACAAGATAGGGCTGTAATGTTAAAAGATGAAATCAGGCTTAACTAGTCCATTGTATCATGTGTGATTTCTAAAAGACTTTGAAATTACAAAACTAAAATGCTATAGTTGGAAAAGTGGGAGTGAGGAAGAGGAGGCTGTAACAGTTTTACAGCATCTGCTCAGACTCCCCCACCTCCTTCCTGTCCCCCCACAAGGCCTTGGAGGCAAACTATTCATTCCAGTGCTTGTAAACAGACTTTCTCTCTTATTGGTTACAAACCTATGTGCAGTTGCCTGGTTTCCATCCTGTTGGAGTCACAGGAAAGCTCCCACAGTAGGTGAGCTGTGAAGGACAGGTACAGGAAGATGAGAAGCAGGAGTTGCCCTTTATGTGAAAGCATTAACTGGATTGTATGGAGCTCTGCCTGGAATGGCTGATAAGCCAGCTGAGAACAGCCTGTGGGCATGGGAGTGCATTGTACAGAGAGCCTGACATGGGTGATGGCGTGCGTGTCTGCTGCACACTGCCTCATCAGGCTGAAGTAGTAAATTAGACCTTTTTTGTATAGCTGGAAGAAGTCTTGTGTTCACAGGCCTCATGTTTATGGGCAGCTTTAATCACCCTGGTATCTTTTGAAGAGAAAACAATGAGGGCACAGGCAATCTACTTGGAAGAATGCCATGGGCCATGGAACTGGAGAAAAGGAGGGTCCAAGAGAGACACTTGACTTTCAAAGATCACCTTATCCAAGCTCCACTTTATTTCTTGTTGGGTTTGGAAAGGCCGGGGCTTTTCGGAGTTGATCCTGGTGAATAACGTGATTGGCAGCTAGAAAGCTTCTTGAGCTGTATCAGTAGAAAAGGAAGACTGAGAAAAATGAGAGCCTGCTGCTGAATGAGGCAGGAAATGACGCTAAATAGCCTGTAGTCTTCTTTGCCCCAGTCTTTTTTGGTAAGATGAACCTTCAGGAATGCTAGGTCCCGGAGATCAGTCGTAAAGTCCAGAGCAAGAAAGACTTGTGTTTGATGAAGGAGGATAGGGTTAGGTGTTGAGAGGGGATAATGAGGACTTTGAAGAAGAAGGGAAGAAAGCAAGTTCACTCCTGCCTCTAGAAAGGGCAGGGAGGACCTGAAGATCTCTATAGGCTTGGACAGTTTAATCTCAAACCGTCAGAAGGTAATGGAGCAGATCTTCCTGCAAACAATTTCCAGACACAAGAACAAGAACATGATACTTTATAGTAAGCATGGCTATATGAAGGAGAAACTGTGCTTAACCAACTTGATGACCCTCAATGATGAGATGACTGCCTTTTTAGATGAGTGGAGAGCAGTACGTGTTATCTATCTCAGCTTCAGTAAGGATTTCACTGCTATTTGTTACGACTTGCTTATAGACAAACTTTTGAAGTGTGAGCTGGATAAGTGAGCAGTGGCGGTGAAGTGAAAACCGGCCAAATTGATGTGCCAGAAGGTTTGATCTGCATCACGGAGTGCAGCTGTAGGCCAGTATCCCAAGGGTTGATGCTGGGTCTAGTCCTGTTTTACATCTTCATTAATGATGGGACAGAGTTCACCCGCAGTGTATTTGCCAGTGATGCAAAAGTGAAAGGAGAGGTTGCTAGACCAGGTGGTTTTGCTGCCATTCACAGGGATGCTGATTAACCAAAGGAATAGGCAGACCTCATGAAATTACAGAAAAGGAAATGCAGAGTCCTGCACCTGGCAAAGGCCCCATGCTCCACAGCACGCAGGAGGCTTGGCCAGCTGGAAAGCAGCTTGGTAGAAAGGTACCTGGGAATCCTGGTGACCAGCACATGGAGCAAGATCCAGCAATGTGCCCTTGTAACAAAGAAGACCAGCAGCATCAGGACTACATCAGTGAAAATGTTGCCAGCAGATCAAGGGAGCTGATCCTTCCCCTCTACTCAGCAGTGGTGAGACCACATCAGGGATACTGTGTCCAGTTCAGAGCATTTTGGATGAAAAGCTATGAACACTCTGGAGCAAGTTCACTGAAGGGTGACTGTAAAGTGATTAAGGAGCTGGAACATATATGAGGGCAGGCTAGGAGTTTAGTGTTAGGCAGCTAGATGATTTGTTATGGCTCAGGAATCTGTATGGTACACATGAATGTGATGAATTATCATAACTGTAGGCTCCGGTCAATTATTTGTGCAGTGAAGGTGTATTTTCATTTAGAAATGCACATAACTACCTTGATGACAAAATTAATTTACAAGTTACTGTATTAAGATTGAAGTTCAGTGTTTCTTGAGAGTGTGACATAAATTTAGTCACAAGTTTTTCTGCTGGCTGGATATAACCTGGAGAGAGGGCCAGTTGCCAAGAAAACATTAATAACAGCTGAAAATTATCAGCCTTCTTAATTTGGTGCATATTTGTAGTTTGTTTGATTCTTTTATCACCGTTTAGTTCCAGTATGTCTGAAACCACAGGCCCTTGATTGCATAAAATATGGATGCCTGATTACTCAGTGGTGATTGCTCATTGGTGACACTGCTCCTGAAGCTGTCCGGCTGTATTTACCATGTGTTTCTCCTGGATAAGCTAGTTATTGCAGCAGAGATTTCTGGAAATCTTTTTTCATATTGCACATGATGTTTCTTTGATGTTTTTTTCGATTGCTAATGCCTTACATTATCCTACTAATAAATGTTCTGCCAAAAATTACTGTTCTGATTGAAAGGAATCCCCACACAGGAATTTATGCATAAATTACTGATGTGTTATTTTATGTCTAAAACAGAGCGCAGTGAGTGGTTGATTTGGCCATTAACTGTACATACGTAGGAAAACCTAAATTCCAGATTCCTGAACACTGATTGCAAGCTACTCATGTGTGCACTACAGTGATCTCTTTGACACTGTCAAAAAGATGCTTAACTCTGAAAAACTAATTCTGCATCCCAGTTGGGGAAGTGAAATGTGAGCTGTACTTGCAGTTGTTAGTGACCTTCACAGCTAGTGTGAATTGGAAAGCTGAGGCAATGCTCTGAAGAGATGTCAAGAGGATTTTGAGAGTCTCCAGAAGGACATGTGGATCATGGGCCTGCAGAGGGTCTGAACCATTCTGATGGTCAAACTGCCAATACAGGCTACAACCAGAAGCTGTAGTGCACCTTTGCCCCTCTACTCCCTCCACCTGCTGAGCAATGCTGCTACCTTACTTGCGTCAAGCATTAAGCTTTGAATTTGTATTTTAATAACTGTTATGCATATTTGAATGTCCACAGGGAATGTGTTCATTTTGCTTTGTGCAAATTTTTCTCCTCCTTTATAAATTTGCCATTAGCACATTTTCTTAATTTATCCATTGGAATGTCATGAAAGACAGATGCTGGCAAGACTTTCTATGCCACCTGTGTTTGTAAAGTCAATCAAGTGTGTTTGAAAGGCAATTTTCTTCATTATAAATACCAGTTGGCCATTGTTTTCTATTGATTGCAATTATTTTTTATTCATTTTTTCCGACACTTTTTCCCAAGTGTTTTTGTAGCGTCTTTAAATTTAAGATCTTACGCCTAGCTCTTTCACTTACCTTTTTTAAAGCTGGACACCCCATGTGGCTCTTTTAAATAGGCATTTCCAGTAGGCTTAAGAGCATTTTTAAATTCTAACTTACTGGTTCTTCTGCTTTCTGCTTTTTTATTTCTACATAAAGAAATAAATAATTTACATAAAGAAATAAATAATAAATAATAAGCAGTAACAAAGTACTGCTTTACTTTTTAAATATTCATAACAAAAATGAGTGGTTCATTTGAGTTAAATAATTCTACCTTCTGGCCTAAGAAAAGGAATGTAACAAGTTTGTCACAGCTGCATAGATCAAACCTTCCCTTTATTTCTGTCTTTAAGGTTACAGGAGAAATAGATACAGGAATACATTTGTTAATTTTATTTATGGTGTTTGGAAAACATTAGAAAATCTGTATTTATTATTAATTTAAGAGGATGAAGCATCTTATGGCAGCAATTTGCTTCTTACCGTATTTCTATGTTACCTTGTGGTAAGAAATGACGATCATGCAAACAGTGAAAGAAATGGATTAAGAGAGATGAGGAGATGGTAAACTTCTATTGGCAATAGTTCTGGCTATGAAACTGTGTTGCTGGGGAGATAAATGACAGACAAAGTGTTGTGGAAAGTGTAGGCTGCTAATTACCACACAGTGTTTGTTCATTCTTCCATTAGTGGGAGAGAGGGGAGAATCAGAGGGCAGTCGTGAGAAAACCCATGGGTTGGTATAAAGGCAGTTTCTAATTTAAAAATGGAAGGAAAAACAAGAAAGAAAGAAAGGAGAAAAAAAAACCCAAGAAAAACAAGTAAAGCATTAAGAAAATAATTGCTTATCACCAACCAATACCCAGCCAGTTCTCAAGCAGGGACAGCCCCTGCCATCCTCAACCCCCAGCTTTTATTGCTGAGCATGGTGCCATGTGGTATGTTAGTTGGGGTCAGCTGTCCTGGCAGTGTCCCCTCCTGACCTCTTGTGCACTGCCAGCCTATTTTTGAGTCCCTATGAAAAACAGAAAAGACCTGGATGCTGCCTGTATTTGCAGTAACTAAAACATCTCTATGTTATCAACACTGTTTTAGTCAGAAGTCCAAAACATAGCCCCATGCCAGCTCAGTTGAAGATATTTAACTCCATCCAGACCAAAAACACCACAGGAAGTTTGGAGAAAGAGCACAGAACATTTTCTGTGTTGGCAAAGTTGGTAGATAAATGTGCTATTGAAACAAACAACAGGGTATATCTGTAAGAGATGATGCTGTAATGAGATTTTTTTTCCTGATGTTTTTTGTTGTTTTATATTTCAGATTAGATAGATAATCCAAATCTGGTATTTCCATTGAACACATAAAGCAGTTTACATAAAGCATCTTTATCCTCAGTGTGTGGAAGGTACTTCATTAATTGCTAGTTTCAGCATTTATGGAAACACAGACTTGTGGTTTTTCCTTGAAGTTGGTTTGGAATTCCAATAAAATGTTATCTATACATAGGCTTCTTGAATGAGAACAGGATTATCAAATTTGAAAAGTAGAGGGTAGGGAAAATAATGGCATAGTTTCTCTTTCTACTTTAATTTAAAGTCTGTCATCTTTTTCCCAAGGAGTTTTGAAGAAGTCCGATGGGTGGGTTGGTTTAGGCTGCTGTGAGCTGGCTATTGCTGTGGAGTGTCGGCAGGCGTGTAAGCAGGTAAGGCTTTCACCCTACTGTCTGAATCCAGGCTGATTCTGCAGCTCTCTTTCGTTATGCTAAGCTTACTTCTCACTTTTTGTCACAATCCCTACATAAAAATTGCTACTTTAAAATAATGTTGAGTGAAAGGCAACACGTGGCTGATCCTAAGCTCTTTTTTTTTTGTAGTGTCATGTTTAGTGATACAACATTGTGGTTACAACCCCAAACAGATTTTTGTGCCTCTTCAAAGAGGTTTTTGTTCATCAGATGAAAGAAAAGGGGTTTTTTTAGTGTTAATAGAGCCAGTGCTTTTATCAAATTTTAAGCAAATTTTGTAAATTTGGCCATGACCTTTTTATTCAAAATCTGTGAAGCATTTAGTGATCTTTTCCCCTAAATATGTGTTTGTGGCTTTAAAAACATCTTCAAAATCTGGGAGCATATTTGTGTTTATCATCATCCTTATAATTCATTTGTGGAGCACAGATGTACTTAATATTCATATTTGTGAATGTTGCCTGTGTAGTCTTATTCTTGACCAAGCAGCCTACTGCAAACTGCCATCATAACAAAAAAAATTCTACTTTCACCCAAAAGCACAAGGTTTAAACTATGTGGCAAGAGATAAGCAGTGAGTACAGAGGAGTGTGGGAGAAAGGTGAGGAGTGAGTAAACAAACTGGATACTTATGATCTTCAGAAAAGAAGATGTGTGTTTATTCTCAAATGCATTCTTAAGCCATGTTTTCAAATATGTCCTGATGCTTAAGTGTCTCTAGACCTGGTAAAGGCATTTCTGTTTATTGTAGTCTTACTAAATTCTGTTAATGTAATATCATGATTTTTACATAATTTCTCATTATTCTCTAAATCAGATGTTGTATTGTTTGATTGCAGACTGTTGCTTCAGAATCTTAGCTATATTTTGTACTTTAGCAGACTCTGGTTAAAACACTTCCTATTTTTTTTTTCATTTATTCTAAAATCTAAATACCTGCCAAATATTAGAGATAATGTGAAATATTTGGATTTTAATTTTGATCCTTAAAACTTGAGGGGATTTTGGAGTAATTTTGAAGGGAGTAATATAATAGGTCTGAGGACAGACTTTACCCAAGTGTTTTAAATTACTGGAGGGGAAGTAATATGTTAGTAGTAGTTATAGTTTTGAATATTTGTCATATGAAAAAGGAGTACGAGATTTTGTGTAGAACAAAGGAATCTGCAGTTTGTGGGGAGAAATTCTGCAACTCAGTTTACTGACAATAGGAACCATAGAAATGAATATACAAGAGGGATGAGAATGGAAAGTGACTCACAAGTTATAAATCAGCAGGGAAAATGGGGAGATCTTTATGCTCAAGCTCTTCCATTTCTTAAATGCTTCCTGTATTCTGGAGTCTGGCAAACCTTTCACAAAACCTAAGTTGCTTTGTGTGCTTCTGCTATCAGCTAACTTGGTGCAGAAATATGAGGGTTTGGATTTTCACTAAATGTCATATTAATAGTCCTGGTGTCTGCTCTTTTTTCTTAAAGCTTTACATGGATTCTTTAGGTTCTTAAAGGAACTTTTTTAATAGATCATGAATCCATTGTTATTGCAGTAAATTTAAAAGTAGAATAGTCTTTATTTTGTGATATGATTTTATCATTTTCTACTACAAATGGATAAATTTGTCTATCTTTCAGGCTTCTGCAAAAAATGATATTTTAAAGGTCTGCAGGAAGGAATATGAGGTATGTTTTTGTGTCTGAATATATCTGAAAAAAAATTAACTTTTATATCAATCATTTTATAAGTCCTGTAAAAATATCCTGTAGAAGAGGGAAAGTTCAGTCTTCTTAGAGCTGTGTTTCTGAATGTGCTCATTTTCATATGAATGTAAATTATCTCTCTACAGCTTTTATAAAAGTATAATCACATTCTGTAAAAATGTTTTTGATTCTTTAGACTTGAATATACCTTAATTTAAATGAAAAAGTTGCAACTTTCAAATTGGATTCCCAAAGAGTTTATTTCATAGGCGTTTGGATCAAAGTCAGCATTTGTTGTGATCATTCAATCTGTCAGAAACCTTTCAGCTTGGACAGTGAGAGTCAGCTTAAAAGTGACCTAATGAAATAAACTCAGGAGAGAACAGCCTTAAGTATCCTATCTGAATATAAATAATTTCGGTGTGTAATTTTTTGTAACATCAGTGAAAGTATTGATGCTTGCAGTTATTTTTACTGTTCTGCTCATAAAATTACTCATCAGGATATCTTCAGAAATCTGCCTTTACCTATATTCTTTTTAACACAGTGTATGGAAATGCTATTTTGCAAGGACTGCTTTTCTTTTGATCTTCATCTTAATTAAAAGCCAGATTCCTTCCACCCCCTTTTATCTAATTTCCTTCAGCCCTAAGTTAGATAGTCCTGCATCAGTTCTGCTCCTAATCAACAGTTCGGGATATGACAAAATTTTCCTTTCTTTTGATTTGGGCAGAAGTGGAGCAGTTTTCCTGTTTTTTTTCCAGGGAGTATTGAATTACTTTTTAAAAATTTATTTTCCCTTTTGTCTTTTTATCTAAACAATTTACAGAGTGTTTTCCTAGACTCTTCACAGTGGAAGTTAGCATGGGTTGAAGTTGCTGTAGCTTTTTCTCTTAGAAATGCACTTTCATTTTAAGTAGTTCTGTCTCCTTTCATGCTATAATATGCTATACTGTCAACATCTGCAAGCTTCTCCTCTATTATGCTGGTCTGTTTCCTTCTTTTTTTCTGGATTTCTGCATTGCTGTAGGAGGTTGTCCAGTATGGGTTGAAGGAGAGCGGGAGAGGAAAGGTAAGAGAATAAAGAATGACTTCAAAATGGTCATACTTGTCTTATTTACTTTACCAGTTTTTATCTGGAATTTTGAAAACTGGGCGTCTCATTCTTAATCAGGAGCGATCTTGCTTTTATTGTACAGAAAACCTTAATGCTTGGTATCTGTGCAAGACTAGAAGAGAAGGAGAGGGAGAAAAATCATAGTAGAAAGTATCAGTCTTCTGATTAGGGAAGAAGGAAATAACTTTTTTAATGAGGACTAGGTGTAGTAGATACAAATAGTGTGTCAGGGACAGAAGTTGATGTGCTAGATCTTCAGTTATGATAGAATTTTGTATGACAATGATTTTTCATATGTAGCCAGGCTTTCAGGTGCTCATGGAAAATAATATTTAAAATACTCTTAAGAGGCTCATTGGTTGAATTAAATTCAAGGAGGTTATGCCTAAGATTGAAGATTCCAAATACAACTTTTGGAGGGAACCTGCAGTTTCCCACACCCTGTCATTCTTTCTCTTTTTAAAAAAAACATTGTTCTTGCCACTTTGCCCTCTGTAGTCCGTGAGTAGCTTCTGTGTCCTGTACTGTACTTTGCAGTCCATGGAGTTGGCTGGGGAAGCACTGAACTGGGGAAGGAATGGCTACTTCAAACTGAAAGAGGTGACATGAGATCACAAGTAGCATGTGAATTACATTAATGCTGCATCATACATAGTGTTTGGTTTTGTATTTAAGAATTCATGCTCTGCTAAAAATGAGGATCCAATTAGAAAATTAGTTTGCAGTATGGATAATAGTGTTTGGTAATCAGCTCTCAGGTCTGTTGCTGAGGTATTTAAGAATTAAGTACATGACATAAAAGTAAAAACTCTATGAATTAAGGATGTAAAATATAATTCTGTTTTTCGTAAACACTCTCATAGCCTACCAGTCTTCTTAACTTAGTTATCTTACCCATATAAGGATTTCCCAGAGAATTTTCACAAGCTGCTTAGAGAGTCTGAACTGTGCATAGTACACTAATGTAATCTTCTGTGATTAGGGAAGCGACTTTGTGCCAGTCTCTCTTCAGCCTCCCATTAAGTTAGTGAGGGTGAAGAATGAGGTAAATCTTCAGGGGCATGGCAGAAGGTTCAGAGCAGTGAAAAAAGCCAAACTCCATGCTGGAGCTGTCACAAGTTTGAAGTCACTGAGTCTCAGGTTGTGCAGTAGCAGAATCACTTCAGCATTAATGTGCCAGCCTTAATTGAAGATGCCTTTCCTGCTGATCATATATTTCTGTATTCCTTTTACTGTAAATATTTATTTTAATGTGGAGATTTTACGCATTTCAGAAAAGTATTGTGTTGGAATAAGGTATTCATTTTTTATCAGTGCTTTGAAGATGGCATGTCCTGTTAAACAATTTTTGTTTTCAAGTAGCACTGCATACAGAAATGAATACATTTTACACAACTTGCCCAGTATTTTTGAGTGTTACCAAAAGGTATTTTATTTGCCTTCTTTTGAAGGTTTTATTCTAATAGTCTTTTTTTCCATCTTCTGCTTCTCAGATACTCATTTTGTCGTCTTCATTTTTCCTCTAGTTCTGTGAACCTCAGTTCTTTTATCTTTCACTACTTCTTCCAGCTTTCTGCTATCCTGTTCATCTTCCTCTAAAAAGAAGGTAGGTAATAGTCAAAGGAATAAGAAGAAATAAGTGGAGATGGTACAGATTGCATTTAGGATTTTCTGATTTTTGAATTTTTAAAACTTTCATGTAAAGTGGGGGTTCATTTTTTTTAAAAGACCACATGGAATACATGCTTGGAGGAGTAGCTAGAAATACTTCATTAATCTTAAAATAAGCTGTAAAGGCATTATTACTGTGATTAAGATCCCTTTTTTTCCTTCTGTGCGTGGAAAGAGTAGCACTAAAGTTTCCATTAGATTGCAGCTCTTGAGTCTGTGCACTGCATATTGTGAGTTGACCTCTTTGAATATTAAGAACTCGAGTTTTTACTTCATGTGTTCCAAATAAGACATATCAACTTCTCTAGTTAATTGGCACTGTGAGAGCTTTATTGCAGCTGAGCACTATTAACATCTCCCAAGCAGTTGAAATGCAACTGAAAATGTCACCACTTATTTAGACTCTGCTCTTAAAACTACTTTTGGTACACAGTAGTGAACACTTGACGTCCCTGGATGGTTTAAAGGTAGTTTCGCTATTACAGATTTGAGCACTCTAGGCTAATCTCACTTTGCAGCTTTTAAACACAGAAACTTAAAATGCAGTGCCTGCAGCTTCATGTACTGTAATGGGGATTCACAAAAGTATTCACTCTGCTACGGTATTGGTTTGTTTTTTCCTTCTAGGGTCATATGATCCTGCTTTTTGTTGAGATTTTACTGAATGCTGACTATTAATTACCCCTGCTGAAAAATGCAGTCATCAATTTTTAGCTCTTATCTAATTGTTTGTGTGGATTATTCTGAGACAATAGGTAATAGCTCAAGGAACTGTTTGGGACATTGTTTAGCTAAAGGTTCCTAAACAGTTTTAATGAACTCCTAAGGCACAGGACTGTGGATGTCCTCTGGAAATACTGCTTAATAAATTCAGGATGGACTCTGACTATACACTGCACATTGTAGATAATGTTATTGTCATCTACTGGTGCTTTTTGTCTCTATTCTCTGCTGTTCAAAGAAGGTTGATAGAACACTCGGTGATCTTGCCAAAATTTGAGTTCCTGTAAATTTTTTACTATTTCACTGTGCAAATGTTTTCAGTTCCTTACTGGTTTACATAATAGAGGAAAATCTTGACCTTACTTGTTATTACTGCAAGTTATTTAAGCTTTTAATAGATACTCACCATCATTTGACACTTCAGCTGATTCCACTAAACATTAGTATGCTGTTACCTTCTTTTATCTTCTCTCAATAAATTCAAAGATTAAAGTAAGTCAAGAGGAGATCAAGAGGGTTTTCTTTTCTGTTCTTAACTGCACAGAGTTAAGCATTTTCCTATTACATTTGTTAACTGTAGGTAATACTTATAAATTAAGATGGCCTTAATTGGGTAGGATCTAGATTCAAATATTTGTCATGGTTAGGTTGCCCAAGACAATAGTACTGAAGTTATTCTTCTGCCAAAGTTAGTGGAATATAGATACCATGATAATTTTTAGGGAGGAAAATATTTTTTGTGGGTTTTTTTCAAAATGCTCTTAATTTCTGGTGTGAAACAACACCTTCATTGTTGCTTTTCATTCAAGACACATGATGCAGCCATTTAGAAGAAATGTGCTTATAATGTGAAAGCATGCCTCACAATGCAGAGGACTTCTTCCTTCAGCAAAATGTTATGTTTTTATGTTGGGGTGCATGCATTTTTGCATTTTGAGCCGTTACCTGCAGCTGATGAGCTCCAAAAAGAGCGAAACCAGTTAGGTCCTGCAGTACTGGCTAAAATCTTCCTTCAGGGGGATTCTGGTGGGGAAGATTGAAGAATGTTCTCTGCTGCATAAACCTCAACAGCCTTTTTCAATTTCCATTACACCAAAAAGAAATCCTTGGGAGTATTTGCTTCAAGGTGTACATGGTTGTGGTGCTCGTATCTGCCTGCCACTTTCCACTCCTTCTGCTTGTAGTCTCACTGGCTTTAATCACCAGGCTTGGAAACACCTGGCTTTAAAAAAAGAGAAGTCTGAAAGATGGGACTTGTGCACAAGTAAATAAAATAATTGTGTTTTAGAAATTTTTATATTGCCATCTTTGTTTACTTAATTTAGTATTCAACACATGTTAAAAACGGAGTGTCAGACTGTGTGTACACAGCCTTTGTACCATCATTTTCCAAATCCTGATAACTTAATCATTCCTTTAAAGAGAATATACTTTTATCCTTGTTTGGTTTTTGTGTTGATTGGCTGGTTTGGTTTTGGTTTTCCTTACCTATATCTGTCTTTCACCTTTTGTTTTCTGTGTCTTTCTTCACTGCCAGTTCACTCAAAGATTCCGAAGGAACCTTGAGTGGGCAGAAAAGCTGGTGACCTCTTAGCTATGAGTGCTAATTTAGTAGAGATGTGGTGAACCTTGTATTCTGAAAATAATTTGCAGTTAGTAATTCAAATCAGACTGACTGCCTAATGCTGTTAGCAATTTTATGTATGTGATTAGATGCTAATTTTGAAATTTTTTTTAAGATTATCTCATATCTATGTAGCTATACCCCTCACATGTGTGAGGGGTATATGCATAAATATAAACTGAGCATTACACAAACCTACCCAAAAAACAAAGCAAGCACCCTCAACTAGCATTCTAGTGGTGGCTACAGACACTACAGTTTTGTGAAATGTGGTGAGTTGCTGTAACAACTCAGTGCAGCTGAACTTCTTTCCCTGCCTTCCTTCAACTGCCATTTTTCCACACACATTCCCTCCCCTTCCTTGCCTTACTCTGCCTTTGGCATCTGGTAGGTCCTTCTAAAAAACAGTATCTAAAAAATGCTTCTTCTGTTCTGACATAGTATTATACCTGTCAATATCGCTGACTTAAACCCTAAGGGATGAGAAAAACGAGTTTTCATTGGGTTTAGTGAGAAAGATCAGGTCATGACAAAGTGAAGTTGTAAGGGCATACACAAGACTGTACAGCTGGGAACAGGGGCAAGGTGGAAAAGAGAAGCCAGACTACTTCCTCTTAACAGAAATGTGAGGATTATTACAGCAATGCAACAGTCTGTGGAACTGTAGTTTCAAAATACAGAAAGAAGATTTATTATTAGGTTAGGAATTCCTTCTTGTATAAAATTGGTGTGTGAAATCACTGTGAGAAGATAATTTGGTCTCCCTTTGAGCCCTTCTTTAGAGGAGGAATATTAGTAAATGCCATAATTTTATCAACATTCTCCTTTATTTTGTGTCCTCTGAGCAGGGCAAGTGACACTATTCATTAACTGCTTTAGAATCACTTTTTTGTATCATTCAGCTTCTAAATAACATGGCAGTTTTTATCTGAGTTTATTGCAGCATTAAAGTATGATTCTAAGTATTGTTTGTGCTAACAGTATGGTCAAGTACTCTGTGTAAACATGGCAGACAGACTTTAGACTTTCCAGCAGCCTCTGCTGTCCCAGTGCCTTAATTAATAAAGTTACGGTGCTCATTCTGTGTGGCTGGTTTGTGTGCCACCTTCCAATGCTCCATGCAGGGCAGCTCTGGAGAAGTCAAATTTCAGCAGCTTCTGAGGACAGTCAGTTCAGGTGTGCAGAGTGTTGTTGTGTGGGGCAGGTCCCAAGGAAACCGGATGGCCACATCGAAACAGGGTCCAAAGAAACTGGATGGCCATCGAAACAGGTAACCTTTGCCTGGCATCCACAGTGTAGGATATATAGTGCTACAAAAATCTCATGAGCCTTTAGGTAGCAGTATAAATACATTCTTTACAGAGGTGACCCCACCTCTGTGTTTTTTCTCCATTAATTCTCTTGTCCCTCATCTGTGTTACACAGATGGATGCGTAACAGGATTGGTTTGTGTGTAGGAAAGAAGGGAACATCTAAAGTTAATCAGAAGAATACATGCTGTTGGGATGAAGACTGTTGCTGCAAATTCATTGTAATCTGAGAGAAAGAATGTAGTATCCGTGCTTTTGGCAGAAAAGATCTGAAATATAGTAGAGGATATTTTTGTCATGAAAATAAAACATCTGAATTGTTACTTTATGAAATCTGGGGCTTTGATTTATGTAAGGCACATTTTTCAGTTTTTGTGTGAGTTGTACCAATAGGTCTGTGCTTTATTTATGATCACTAGAATTACAAATAGTTGCTGTTTGTGGAAAAATTACTTGCACTTTCAAGTTAGATGTGTGTTTATTCTCTTAGGGCCTTTCTTTGCCACATCTGCCATGGCTTACCCAAGGTTTAAATTAATTTCTGAGTGTTAACAGAAGGAATTTGATGCTGCTCATTATAGTATTGGTACTGTCCTGTTTAAGATCTTGTGTTCAGAAGAAAGCAAGTAGAAAATACAAATGAAAACCAAATTCCTGCACACTAAACAATATCCAAGTCAAAAGGAAAAATAAAATAATCAAGTTAATTCCTAAGACATTTGTATTTTTGTCTGTTTGCAGCAGTACAGATCTGTATAAAAATAGCTCCAAGATTATTTGGGATACTTCTCTGCAATGCAATGAATAACTAGTAATTAAGATAGATGAGGAATGGTGAACTACTGAGCTTGAACTAGGTCTGCATTTTGAGCTCTTGTCCATGTCTTAGAGGTGGTAGCACATCTGGTGCTTTCCTGCATTGAAACAAGACTGTAATCCCACACGATTCAGGATCAGCCTGATGGTGATTCTGTTTTCTTCTCTAGATAGTCTCTTTTGTGTGAAATACAAATTTGTTTAATTATAGGGATAGGGGAAATGGAAACCAGGAGTTTTACACAGATGAGGATTGTGTTTTGTCACTATATTGATGTATTTGGTCAGGTTTTATAATCTGGTGTTCTGACAATTGTAGAGGTTAGATATTTCTAAATTCAAATTTCTCTTTTCTCACAGTCATATAATTTTAGTCTTCAATGACTGGCAACTACATTTTGGAATTTCAACCTCTTGACTTCATCTTTTCATAGAGTTTCAGACAGCTTATATTCAGTATCTAATTTTTTTAATGGGAAGTGTGCTTATTCAGTGTGGGGAACACTGTGGGGTTTTTTTACAAGAGTTCAGTAGTCATTAGGGAGGGGATTCTGCACCTCTGCTCTGCTCTGATGAGACCCACCTGGAGTGCTACATCCAGGTACAGGATATGCTACATCCAGTGCTATGTCTTCAGCCCAGGAAAAATGTGGACCTGTTGGAATGAGTCCAGAGGAGAGCCACAAAGAGAGATGGGGCATGTCTCCTATGTAGACAGGTTGAGAGAGCTGAGGTTGTTCAGTCTGCAGAAGAAAAGGATCCTGGAAGACCTCATAGCACTTCCTGGTGCCCAGAGGGAGCCTACAAGAAAGCTGGAAACAAACTTTTTTGGCAGGGCTTGTTGTGATAGGGCAAGGGTTAATGGTTGTAAACTAAAAGAGGGTAATTTCAAACTAGATACGAAGCATTTTTTTTAGTTTGTTTTTTTTTATGATGAGGGTGGTGAGGTGCTCAAACAAGTTGCCCAGAGAAGCTGTTGATGCCCCATCCCTGGAAGTGCTCAAGGCCAGGTTGGATAGGACTCTGAGCAGCCTGGTCTAATGGAAAATGTCCCTGCCCATGGTAGGGGGTTGTGACTAGATGAGTCTTGAGGTCCCTTCCAACCCAAACCATTCCATGGCTGGTCTGCTGATTAGAGACCTCTCAGCTGTGCCTTTCAGCTGCAGTTCAGGGGAGTTGGTTGTATGCTTTAGCTTTTAAGGTACATTATCATGGAGTTATTCTGTTGAGATTTCCTATTTGCATGTATCCATCTGTACAGAATAATTTTTTTCTACATAGAATCTTTAAAATTATTGTCCTTAAGAAAAGTCGCAACTTTTTGGGACACCAAAATTTACCCTATTTCTAAGTCAGTCCAGGAAAGTCTTCCAATTTACTTGTTTGCTTGAATATTTATCTGTGCTATTATGAGTACACACAGAACTTTGGTGACCCTTTATCTCTTAATTTGCTGGTGTCACTGTTTGATTAGTGGTTTTGTTTTAATGTAGTCTAATTGAAGCAAATAATACTAGAGGTTTATTAGCTCATTGTAACAAATTACTGGATACTTAAATATTTATTTGACATTTTCTGGCTTGTAACACTGCTTTTGTTTTGATTTCAGAATGCTCTCTTTAGTTGTATTAACAGAAATGAAAGTAAGTATATAATGAATAGTTTATTTTGTTTTTCTTTTATAATATTCATTTTTTCTCTGAACTGCAAGAGATTATGTAGGTGAACATACACTCAAACACATGGATTTCAGACCTGTATAAGTAAAAGCCATGAGTAAATTGTCTTAAGTAATGAAGGGATTTGGCTATTTGTGTAATTAATATCAGTTTTCAGTTTGTGTATCTGTATTTGTCTTTTCTGTCATCTTTTTCTTCTGCATGTTCATTTGATGTGTGCTAAGTAGCAAAATTAAATGGTAGTTGAAATGTTGAAGAACCATGAGTTTCATTGCCTGATATCTGTTTATATAAAATGAAATCAGTGTCTCAGAATTAATTCCAGTAGAAGCTGTTCTCAAGAACTACTATATGTATTTAACAACATAGCAAAAGTGGGTGAATCACCAGTACCATCTGTCTGGGTTTTTTGAATAATACTACTCTCATATTTGTTAGTTTATTAGTAGCATTTCTCTGATAATTCAATTATTGGACCTGTCTTGTTACCTAAAGTAAGAACAAAACAGCTGAAAATGAGATTGGGCTGGCTTGCTCATGTCTTGAACTTGAGTTCAAGGCAACTTTAATACTGACTTTTTTCTCCTGCCAGACAAACAAATGTAGTTTGGCTAGTTACAGATATTTCCAGTCATTCTGTAGACAGAGGTTTTTCAGTAGAGCATAGAATTTCTTCTTTTTTTTTCTTTCATTTCCTTGAGCATCCTTGTGTGTCAGACTTGCTCATCTCTTCATCTCTCTGCATAGGAACCCATAGATTTTCTGTTGTTTGTCTCTTTGCTTCCCCAGTGGGGTCAGTCTGTTGCAGTTACGCAGGTCATCACACGAACTGCCGGGAGTATTGCCAAGCAATTTTTCGGACAGATTCCTCTCCTGGTCCATCACAAATTAAAGCAGTTGAAAATTACTGTGCATCTATCAGCCCTCAGCTTATACACTGCGTGAATAACTACACACAGTCATATCCAATGAGGAACCCTACAGACAGTAAGTACAAATAAATCCATCTTTAATGAAAGAAAGTTACAGAAGATACTGCAAATGTACTTCTTGTACATTTTATATAAAATGTGTTATTGTAGAAGTTGATCGTATAAATATTACTGTCCTTATATGAATATATATATTATGATAACTCTTGGGTTTAGGTGCAAACATTATATGAATTTATATGATGATAATTTTTGGTTTAGGTGCATTAATAATTGTTATTTACTTTTAATTTTTACTTATTTGCTTTGTAGTTTTTTTCCAGAGTTGATTCTGTATCTATTTAGGAGAAGCAATGTTATTTGAGATTCTTTGGAGGAGAAGACACATTATAGCACTTTTATTTCTCAGGGCTGTAATGTTGTGCATCTTTAATGTTGTTTGTGCTTGACTGTTAACTATTTTGTTAACAGGTTTGTATTGCTGTGATAGAGCAGAAGACTATGCGTGTCAGGCTGCCTGTAAAAGAATTCTAATGTCAATGAAAACAGAGCTTGAAATTGTTGATGGACTTATAGAAGGCTGTAAAACCATGCCTCTCCCTCAGGACCCGCTTTGGCAATGTTTTCTTGAGAGCTCAAGATCTGTTCACCCAGGAGTCACTGTGCACCCTCCACCTTCAACAGGCCTCGATGGAGCTAAGCTCCATTGCTGTTCTAAAGCAAATTCTTCCACATGTAGGTCAGTATCTCTCTAACCTCATTTACAATTCTGAAAGTTAGGAATTTGTCTTGTTTCTGGCCTTTGCCTGAATCTTGCTGTGTACATCAAATAGGAAGTTCTGGAATTCTTAGAAAAAATACAGGTTCAGGTAACCAGATAGTAATCTGTTGAGTAATATATTCTGTCCAGTACTTTGTAATTCAAAACATACTGTTTTATAAGAGGAATCAACTTTTCCTTACATTTGGCACTGGCTTATTATAGCAGAAACAGTAAGTTAATTAAATTTGTACCATACTTGTGGTCATAATAGCCAATATTACAACCTCTGGTTAAGAGGTCTTAACGAGATGCTAAAGAGAGACAAATGATTATTGCTCCACAAACTCTCAAGTGCCTGGTTGCTTCATGTTAAACCTTGGCAGTATTCCTTTCTAGATGCTCTTCTGGTTTTTGTCGGTGAAAAATAACTTAGGTAATTTAGTAATTAAATAAGGGAACTAACTATTCTGACATTTAGAAAAACAAAGATTTTCAGCAAATTGTTGCATGCTTTCAAATTATTGAGGCATTTTTAGTCTAAAGTGGTTTTCTGTCCACTTTAAAAATAGATTATGATTGTATTTTAAATGCATCAGTGTGTCTGAATAAGTGGCAAACTTTTTGAGCTTTTACTTCCTTTTATATCAAAGTTTCCAGTAACAGCATCTCATGAATGCAGCAGGATCTTTACAGGGTTTAATAGTAGAGCCCTGGAGTTACATTATTTCTTAGCATGTTGCAGCATAGGATTGGTAATAAAGTCAGTATCTTTTAGTTCCTTGCTTTGACAATGAGTTCCAAAATGGATCCTTCTGTCGAGTTTTCAATAGGCAGGAGATCTAATAATACAGTGAAGTTCTGTATCTTGGGATGGAAGCATTTGTAGTTTGTAGGACATTGCCATAAACAATGTGGGCTGGGTATTGCTGACACCAGGAAATATCTCAAACAAAAGCAGCAAACAGTATCCCAAACATCAAAGAAGGCAAAAGAAGGAATGTATTTTGCTTGACAGTCATTCTGTAGGAGGAGAAAGTGTGATTTGAAGCTGAAGGATGGGATTAGAAGTTGTTCATTGTGATGGCAACTTAGATTTATTGCCAGTAAAATCAGCTTGGATAGTTTTAAGTTCAGGTTTCCAGTTGTTACATTTTTATTGGATATTGCAGTTTTATATCCTGAAGTCTTTTGATCTTACTAGCTTAAAGATATGCTGACGTGCTTGACCAAAATGGGTTATTTGCTTTGAGCACAACATTTGGGTGCCCTTGGAGACTTTGTGGGCTCTAACACAATGCTCTGTGGTGAGCAGAGGCAGAATGATGGAGCAAAGAAGTGATGAGCTATATCTGAATGGCTGTTCTTTTAATATTATTTTCTTCATCTCTATTTCTGTTTTGTTTTCAGAGAGCTCTGCACTAAACTTTATAGCACGAGCTGGGGCAATTCACAGAGCTGGCAAGAATTTGATCGCTTTTGTGAGTATAATGCAGTTGAAGTTTCCATGTTGACCTGTTTAGCAGATGTACGAGAACCTTGTCAGCTGGGCTGTAGAAATCTTACTTACTGCACTAATTTTAATAACAGGTAGGAGAGAGACACTGAATATTTTACAAAGGAATTCCTATGCTTTGATTTCAAAAATAAAATGAATTGTTTTTAGACTTATTTTGAGATTGTATATAGCTTTTTTTCTGCAAATATGGTTTTAGTTAATTTGAAAATAAGTACTTTTTCTTTAGAATGAACTTTTGGAAATGCATTTAGCAACAGATGTAATAAAACTTATAGGAATAAAAGTTGTAAAATGTCACAGTGTATTAGCTCTGCGTAATTCCTCTGTCCTACTGCATAGACAAGTAAGTCGTGGTTACTGGACTGTTGTATATTATAAATAAGGTTAAAGTGTTTGTTAAATTTACATGTTACTCATTTTCAAAATTCCTTTGTTGCAGAGATGTTTCTGTGGGTTTATAGGACAAAATGATTTAAAAGTGGTGTCTGAAAATAATTGCAAGGTTACAGTTAGAGTTTAAAAAAAAATAAATTTTCTTAGCTATTAGAGATCACTGGCTTTTTTTTTTTTTCCTTAATAGTATGTTGTGGCATGAGTGTTACAGGAGAATCCTAACCCTAGCTAAATATAGATCATAAATCAACTTGCATTAGTGATTTACTAAGAAACAGAGGTAATTACAGAGATACTTGGGCTAAGATATTTGCTCTTAAGTCAACTTTAGATGAGAAATATTAAAGTGATATATGATCTAAGAACTAGAGGTGAGAAGGGAGTTTCAGCCTTGAGTCTTAAAGAGCTTGTCTTCCTTAAAGACAGATTTCAAATTGATTTTGATCTTGCTTAACTGTGGGAGGGATTAAACAAAAAACAAGCCATATGAAAGATGTAGGAACAGTTCTTACGGTGAAAAGGGAAAATGTGGGGTACTTTATTTTTCTTTTATACATGCTATATATGCTATATCTTACCTTCTCCTTTTAAGACCAACAGAGCTATTTAGAAGCTGCAATACTCAGTCAGACCAGGGAGCCATGAATGACATGAAGCTATGGGAAAAAGGGAGTATTAAGATGCCTTTCATAAATATTCCTGTGCTTGATATTAAAACATGCCAACCAGAAATGTGGAAGGCAATTGCCTGCTCCCTACAGATTAAACCTTGTCACAGCAAATCTAGAGGAAGTATTATCTGCAAGTAAGTACTATGGGGAAAACAAAAACCATTTTAGAGGTCAGTAACAAGGGTCGTTTTAGAGGTTTTCTTAAGGATTTTAATGAAAATTTAAAAGCTGTAGGACTGTGTTTGCTATGTTAGGAAAATGTGGCAAGGTAAACATGGAAGGAATATGAAGTTGCTTGGTTGCCATTGCTTGAATCTCCATCACTTTAAATTAAGATATTTGCCTGTTAATGAGATGGATGTATATGCTGGTATTGTAAAGTGAAAAAAAAAAACCAGATGTCTTGAGTTTTTTGGCTCTCTGTGGGGTCTTAAATCTTTCCTCTTTTTTGATTTTGAGATATACCAATGACTTTAAGCTGACAGAAACATCTGGAAAAAAGAAGGTTTTTTTGTTTGTTTTAATAAACTTTGAAAGTAGGTGATTGAGTAGAAAAAAGAGCAGTCAATAGTGCAGGTAGTGAGGTAGAGGTCAAGCCATATTAGACATTAGTAAATTAAGGAAGTGCTTGGTCTTGGAAGATGGCATATGATGTCATAGAAAATGAAGATCACCAAGCCCAAAGTCAAAAAGGAGTACTACAAGCAGTAGTTTCTGTCTTTGTGTCACAAATTTCTTCCTTCCTCCTACATCAAATGTAGCATATGTGTATATAAACACTCTGCTGTGAGGCATATTGGGAAAGCTGTGGATTCAGGAAAGGGAATAACACAGAAAGAAATTTTTTTCATATAAGCCCTTATTTCTTCAAGTAATCTTCATGGTTCTGTCTTTTTATTTACCTGTAGATCAGATTGTGTGGAAATACTGAAGAAGTGTGGAGATCATAATAAATTCCCTGAAGGCCACTCAGCTGAGAGTATTTGTGAACTCTTATCTCCAACAGATGACTTGGAGAACTGTATACCCTTGGATACTTACCTGAGTAAGTACTAACATCCCTATGCAGAAAAATTAGAAACCAGGATAGTTTGAATGCTTGTTATTACTTTTAATAATCTTCATTATTTATCTTAAAATTGTATTGAATTTGAGGCGTTTTATTTTGTGTATTAGAGAAAATTTGAATTTTCTAGTTGCCACAGTTCATTGCTTCTATTTCTTTTTGTATTGGACATATGTGACAAGAAAATTATTGGGCAGTCAAGATAAAGAAAATACATTTTGTTTGTGAATTATCATCTGGGTCATTATTTCCAGGACTGTGGATTAAACTATTAAAATAAGTTAACTACCTGGTCATATCACACTTCTACATTTATAATTAAAGTAAAAAAAAATTCACAGAATTGTCAAAAATATTATTTTACTGGATGTATGAAATGCTATGCTTTGCTAAAGAAGCATAAACCTCGTTTAAATCAGTGTAGATGATGTGTATTCTGTTTTCAGGCCCAAGTTCTTTAGGCAACATTGTAGAAGATGTCACACATCCATGTAATCCAAACCCATGTGCAGCTAATCAGCTATGTGAAGTAAATAGAAAAGGATGTCAATCTGGAGAGCTGTGTCTTCCATATTTGTGTGTGCCTGGTAAGGTTTTTTGGGCTTCTTTTTACTGAATTTTGCAGGTAAACGTACCATTGAGATGTTGAAGATTTTGAAGTGAACTGCTGTGCCATGGTTTAACCCAGCTGGCGCCTGCATACTGCACAGCCACTCACTCGCTTTCCCCTCTGGCATGAGCAGGAACAGTTTAGTCACTGAAATAAAGGTAATAATAATAATTGTCATGGTGCTGCTGAAGAAAAGGGAGATAAGAAAAAGAGAGGAATACAACCCAGAGGAACCAGGAGATGCACAGTGCCACAGCTCCCCTCCCACTGACCCAATGCCCAGCCCTTCCACGAAAGACGTCTGGACGTGCAGCTGACAGCATTGGTGCTTCTGCTCCCTTCAGTGACATTTCTAATGTGGTTGCACCTCACCAGAAAGACACTTATGGTCATTTGGGAACTGCTTTTTTAGAACACTGGTGTTGTCTAACCTCTGCACCATGTGTAAACATGAGCTGACTGGGGAGAGGGGAGAGCTTCATGCAAAATACATTTCAGGTACCTGACTTTGAAATGGCAGGTTGGGTGGTGTCACTAACAAGGATCAAACCTACAAAAGGAAGTGTGAGTCTCTGCAATGTCCAACTTCTACAGCCCCTTCATTGTTCTGCCCTAGGCACTAGGCACTGGTAGTGCTTGCCACAGTTTCCCCCTTTCCTTTAAAGCAGGAGGTGTCATTCAGTGACATGAGGGGTCAGCTGTGGTTCTTGAATCAGTGCAGGAAGTGTGCATTTGGTGATCACTTGACTCGTGTGTGACTGAACAAGTGAGAGTAATGCTCTCACTCAGTTTTTACACTGAATTGCGTGGAGCAGCCTCCTTTCTAGAAGAAGTGATAGAGAACATTGCCATAGCTGTCTCACATCAGTTCCCTCAGCCTCTTTTCTTCCAGCAGTTCTGTAGCTGAGCAGTAGTTTCCCCAGTGGTTCCTAATTAAAAAAGAAAGCTGGATTTTGCTTCACTCATACTCATCTGCTCTACTTAAGCTCTTTTAAAAGTGAGGACAGACTTCAGCTCATTCTTTGTGTGAGCCTAGGGATATTGTTTTAGTTATGCTTCTATGACCCTTACAAATATTTTTGTTTTCCTGGAAAGCTGAGTCATATTACTATACAGGTTGTATTGTCTTCACTTGCTGCATAAGTCATTCAAACTCATCTGAAAACAAGCTCATACAGAGCTTTTGAGAGACAATTTACTTCCTCTGAAGGTTGGAAAGTGACTTTATATTTTAATTAAAGACTTTTTAAAGACTTTCAGTCTTTTTATTGGCTGAAAGTTTCAGGGGGTTTGTTGCAGTTCACCCCATGTAGGGTTATTTCAATCGGCTATTTATTTTTATTATTTTTCATTTCCGTTCTTTTTTAAATCCACTTTTCCTGTTTTTTCTTCCTTTCTCCCTTGCATCTCTTGTAAGAATCCTTCAGTGTTCACTTAAGAGGTACAAGTAGAGAAGAAAGGCACAATAAAATATGTGAGAGAAGGGAAATAACTGAGCTTTGCTTGCGAGACCCTTTAATTCAAATTCTGTATTGGAGATGGTGAAGCACGTGGAGTATTTGTTACATAACATGTTTCATACTACTACAGAGCTGAAAAATTAAAATACTTGAGAATTATTGTAATTTCAAGTCTATTTCTCAAAAGTAACCTCTTTACAGATACTTTAGAACTTTGTCTCAAGCAATTGTCTTCTATTTGTGCTGCTTGTTGCCTCTGTGAAATGGGTGAATGTAAGGGCAAGAGTAAGGCTGCTCAAGAACACCTTATATTTTTTACAAGTCAGTGTAGTAATTAATTTCAGTAGTGGCACTTTGCCCACGTGTTTACTACTTATGAGCTAAAATTTTTCCTTGTATTCAGGCTGCAAACTGGGAGAAGCCTCCGATTTTATTGTCCGACAAGGTACACTTATCCAAGTTCCATCCTCAGCTGGTGATGTTGGGTGTTACAAGATTTGTACCTGTGGACACAGTGGATTGCTGGAGAACTGTATGGAAATGCATTGTGTTGACCTCCAGAAATCATGCATTGTTGGAGGACAAAGGAAAAGTGAGTAATAAAACAGTGATGTATCCAGCACCTGCTCCTTACCTAAGGAATTTTTGAGCTACGTAATTCAGAGTATTAGAAAATACAAAAGCTGATGATTACATCCCTCTATTTAGTACTGGGTTAAGTCTGACATATGCTGGAAGGTTCCACTGTTGAAATCAGTACTGAACTGTGCCTGTCTCAAATCAATCACAGTCCTGTGTGAAGGGTATTCTCAGTACAGTATTTCTTTTTAGCATGGGATGATTTCTCTACTAGCTCCAAATGGTTTGTGAGGGGTTGTTTTGGATTTGTTGGGGGTTTTTTCTTCCTTCTACTGACTTGTGGCATCTGGACCAGTGAACTCCCAAGGATTGTGTTTCCACTCCGGTAGGTGGCACAAAGACCTCTCTCCCTGCTTACTGATATAATG